CCATAAAAAAACTACCTACCTCTGATCACGACAAACTTTCAGACATTTTTTATTAAAAAAAAACAAAAAAACAAAACATTTTATTATTAATAAAAAAAATGTGAATATATGATGATCAGACATTATTATGTAATATAAATAAATGTGAATGAAATGTCTAATAAAACACACTAAAACACACACCAACACTCGCCAAACCTAACCAACAATAAACATGAACAACATGAATGACATGAAATGATTCATAATTGCAATTGTCAAAATTGGTATTCTACAAAATCTTTGTGGCGACATCTATAGACTATTTCCCCAACTTGTATATCCATCTCAAGTCACGTAGTTCCCAGTTTCCCCATATTTTCAAGTATAAGTTCTCGAGCCCAGGCAGTGATGGTAACCGTAGGGAAATTCCTCTACATGTAGGGGAAAATGTACTAAAATTTGGAACCGTAGGGACTTTGTAGGGATATTTTTAAAATTAAATTTTAAAAATATCACTACAATTTAATACTATAACAGAGTGTCTCTGTTATAGTATGTTTTGTGTTTTGTAGTTCTGTGGTCTTGTCTATGTTTTAGTTTGTTAGATTACTTGACAATGACTTAGACAAAATCCTTTCCTGGCCGCAGACAATTGCCATCGGGGACTTCAATGCGGAGTCCCCCATATGGCACAGCGGGACGACGACCACAAGAGGTCGCGGCCTGCTGAATTACCAAGACAGACACGACGACTTGACTATACTCGGACCGACAGAACCGACACATTACGGACCCGTAGGACGCCCCGACGTTATCGACATTGCCCTCTTAAAATCTATACCGTTAAATGCCCAAATATCCACCCAATACGAAGGGTCTTCCGCCCACAATCCAATATTTCTGGATCTGGGGCGAAGACAGAGATATGAAGGCACCTTCACGAGGAGGTTCACTGACTGGGAGCGTTTCCGAACAGTAATGCAAGGAAACATGGCGCTCCCAGTCATCGAAACCACCCATGATCTGGAGGCGGCAATCCTCTCCCTTGAGACTGACATTAAAAACGCCCTGACTCAGACTACGACGGAGACTATTGTCCCCCGACTGACAAACCCCCGGGGCACCCTCCCCGATGACATAAAAAACTTAATACGTGACAGACGACGTGCGAAACGGCTTGCCACCCGCACCCGCCTCCCCCGACACAGACATGACTTAAACGTACTTAACAGACGGGTGAAGGCGGCTCTGGATGAACTGGCCCAGGATAACTGGGCTAGGCACCTGGAGTCGCTGGATCCACAAGACAACAGCCTCTGGAAAACGCAGAGGGCCCTGCGACAGACCGCTCGCCGTAAAATTCCTCCAATCCACGGTAGTGTGGGGGTGGTTTACACGAACCAGGAAAAGGCCGAGGCTTTCGCCGATAGCCTGGAACTGCAGTGTAGACTGCCTCAGCTGCCCGACGAAGACGAGGAATTCGAGATAGTGGCTGAGCGCGCGGCCCGACGCGTCGACAGAGAGCCAGACAATGACATAATCCCCCCCGCAACACCTGACGAACTAAGACTGACAATACGCAGACTTAAAAACAGAAAAGCCCCCGGACCCGACAATATACATAACACGACACTTAAACGACTACCACACAAGGGCCTCATGGCCCTACTAAACATAACAAACGCGACACTCAGACTAAGACACTTCCCTACCCGCTGGAAAACAGCAAACATAATCCTTATCCCAAAACCCAACAAAGATCACACCATCCCATCCAACTACCGGCCCATTAGCCTGCTCCCGGCTATGAGCAAAGTGGTAGAAAAAATTATCCTAACCCGTCTAAGAACCCACTCCCAAGAACTGCAAGTCATTCCAGACGAGCAGTTCGCCTTCCGACCCAATCACTCCACTGAACTCCAAATCCTTCGCCTTACCGAGCACATCACGGCGGCCTTCAACAGGGGACAGTACACTGGTGCTGTCTTCCTGGACGTCGCAAAGGCCTTCGATACGGTTTGGCATGAAGGCCTACTGATGAAAATGCTCACCAACCAATATCCCATATCCTTTACCAAACTCATAAAATCCTACCTACACCACCGAAAATTCCGCATCCAAATCCAAGATTCCCTTTCCACCACCCGTCCCATGGAGGCCGGTGTCCCCCAGGGCACCGTCCTGTCCCCACACCTATACACCATTTACAACTCCGACATCCCACATCCCCCCAACACCAACATATACTTATACGCCGACGACCTGACAATCACATCCCAATCCGTAGATCCTAGATATTCCGTCTACCTCCTCCAAAGCTCCTTAGACCAACTTGAAACCTGGTGCAACAGGTGGAAAGTCAAAATTAATCCCAACAAAAGTTCGGCTATCCTTTTTACCAAACGAAAAATCCCACAAAACCTTGACAGACTGACACTATCCCAGGAACCCATCTCCTGGAATCGACAAACACGATACCTGGGCGTGACGATGGACCAGCGTCTCACGTGGAAACCGCACATCGTGGAGACGGTGGCGCGAGCGAAGACCACCAGGGCTAGGCTCTATCCCTTACTCAAAGGTGGAAACACCCTCAGTTTAAGGAATAAGCGAACGCTTATCAAGGTGGTACTTCAACCGCAGCTAACCTACGCCTCCACGGCGTGGGGTCACGCGGCAAAAAGCCACTTAAAGTCATTACAGGCTGTGGAAAACATAGCCCTCCGCACGGCCACCGACGCGCCCTGGTACGTAAGAAACACTGACATATTACGAGACTTACAATACACAAACGCTACACAGACAATAAGACAAAACGCGGAGAAACGATTTGACGTAGCCGCTAGACATGACAATCCCCTCCTCAGGCAAGCCGTTGACTACGTACCCGACGTGACCGACAAACACAAAAGACCTAGACACCAACTTTTTGACCCTGGGTGACCACCCCAATGACCCCCCCCCTGCCCGCTAACCTTTTCTGTTTCAGAGACAGCCAGGATCAAGAAACGAAGACAACGACACACACACACACACACACACACACCCCCCATACCCTCCTTAACCCTCCCCTCCCGCGCTAGCCTAAGGGCCACCTTAGCAAAGCGCATCCCAGGCTGCATAGCCGCACTACCCTACCCAACCATACCACACATAAACATGACACTACCCCCGGGGTTTACACAGACGAGCCGGCGAAGCAAGAAGAGCGCCAGAAGAAAGGGCCCTAGCCGGCGGGGCCCAGCCAGGACAAAAGGAGGTCCCACAAAGCGCCTACACCGGCCGCATTTGCGGTCGGGGTAGACGACGGATGGGGCCCACCTACGAAGGCTGTCCAGGCCTACACGAGATGAAGCAGGATAAAGAGGGATAATCCCCCTCGATCCCAAATCATTGAGGCCAATTTCTAGCCATGGAATAATGGCGCGGCGCAGTAGATATATCGGGGAGGTATACTAACCTAAAAACTAGAAGTCGAGTCAATAATTATTACAATTTGTTTTTATAATGGTAAATAAAAAGTTTCGAAGTTAATTTAACGATACATATGGGACACCAGCGCCCTCTTATTTTTGTAAGATTTTTGTTTTCAGTTTCTGATTGTCAAGTGTATCTTGTGTCAACATTTCGTAATTTAACCTTATTTAGTTTATCTAAAAATTGAACCAGTAGTGTTGTTAATCTAAAAAATTACACAAATAAAAATTATGTCGTGGAGTAGAAATGAAGTACAAATGTTAATAGATCTATATCAAAAGCATTCATGTTTATATGCCGTAAAATCAGTTTCTTATAAAAATAGACACGCGAGATTCAAGGCTTTGACTGAAATTGAAACGGAATTGAGAAAAATAAAACCAGAAGTAACACTGGCGGAAATTAAATGCAAATTTAATAATTTGCGAACTAATTTTCTGTCCGAGTATAGAAAATATAAGGCATCTAATAAAAGTGGCACAGGTGCAGATGAGGTAAGACTTGTTAAATAATAGGTTTATTATGTATCATTACTTTCCTAATCATGCTGACCTTTTAACAGATTTATAGACCTACATTGTGGTATTTTGAGAACATGATTATTGTTGAGCACAGTGTACCACGATCATCAAAAGACAGTAAGTATTGCAGAAAACCTCAATCTTCTTGACTCTGGGGGTGAATTTAGTGAAGAAATGGAACCACAGGTAAGTATTAGAAGTACAATATATTATTTTTTTTAATTTATATTGTTCCAGTATGGAGAATATGTTGAAGAAAACCGGAATGGTGAAGAAAACATTATTATTGATATTACAGAATACCCAACAGAAACTGATTCGAACAGTGGTATCACTAAGACACCTAATCGAAGTGAAATAAAGGCAAGTGTTCTAAGAAAACAAAAAAAAAAAAGAAAGAATAAATGAAAATGATGTTTTAACCACAGCATCACAAATGATGCAACATTTGGCAGAAGCCTTCAGTAGTAACAAGGAAGTTAATTCAAACGGCCTGCAGGCTTTTGCATTGATGATCCTGATCTATTAGATGAAACCGAAGAGGATATAGCTAATCTTATATTTACTAACTTGAAAAGATATAGAGAGTATAAAATAAGTCACAGTTCTTAAAATATATATTTTAAGATTAGTACCAATAAATACATATATATTATTTTAAGGAGTCAATATTTTGTATTACTTATAAGCATATCCTCCTATCCTTAAAATAATATTGAAGCATCCATTATTTTTTTTTGTGCAGGTAGGAAAAAATTAAACTACTAATTATAAAGTTTATTTTTTATTGCCTACATATTACAGTTATTTACAGCCTCGTTTTGCCAAGGAACTGCACCAACTGTGCAAAAATAATCTTTAAATTTGCTTCGAATTCTTAAAGCACTTACAGTGCACCTATTACCATCTTGATTTCCGATGTTTCCCATGCAATCAAGTTTTTCATCAGGATCGATGTCAGTGTAGACTGTCCCTTTGCTAGTACCAAGAAATTATGCAAAACTATACGGGTTAAGGTAATTAGTTAAACTTTTCTACATTAAGACATATAGGATTACGTAATACACGAAAACGATTAACTAATATACCAAATGTACTTTCAATCATCCTCCGTGCTCTGCTTAACCTATAATTAAAAATTTTTTGTTCCTGACAAAGGCCTCTTTGTGCATACCTATGGTTTTAATAACCTAGTAGAAAGTGGGAAAGCATCATCGGCAATGATTACATAAGGGAGTTTTTCTGAGCCGTTTCCTGGAAGAACTTCATCTTCTGGGAAATTAAGGTTGTTGTTTTGTAAAACTTTAGAAAACTTACTTTCTCGAAATACACCACCATCACTAACTCTTCCATTTACACCCACGTTAACATAAATAAACTTGTAATTTGCACCAGCTAAGCCCAATAAAACAATAGAGTTTGTACCTTTATAGTTATAATAAAATGATCCCGATGATATTGGTGCACAAAATTTTATGTGTCTACCATCGAGGGCCCCAAGACAGTTTGGAAATTGCCATAGCTGGTAGTAATTATCGGCAATAGTTTTCCATGCCTCTGGTGTAGTAGGTATCTGGAAATAATCAAAGATACATAATCATTTACATAAATGTTTACCAACATAAGTACCTCAAGATATTCTCCTTTCAAGTGATTATATATAGCACGACAGACCTCAGGTATAAATTTAGAAATTGTCGATTCATGAATGCGAGTAGAATACATCCCAGTGGCTAAAAAGCGTAAGGTAACTTCCAACCTATATATATATATATAAAAATGTAATCAATCGATCCGTTGAAGTCGTAATTTCTCGTAGTTTTTATTCAAACAATATTCCCAAAAGTACATACCTATTTCTTGGACTAATACTATCCCTCATAAACGTATCCTCTTTTTGTATATCTTCAACAATAAGAGTTAACATCTTTTCGAATTGCTGGTTGTCCAACCGCAGAAAATTTCTGTAGGATTCTATATCCTCAATTAGTAGTTCCTGATTTAACAAATTTAATAAACCACGACCTTCATTTCGCCTCATGAGCCATTTTCTTGACCAAATTGCACGTCTTTTTCGTTTACGTTGCATTCTGCGACGCACCACTGTAGTAGTTATTAATGTTAAACAACCTACCGCTCTAATTAATATTTTATTTTTTATATTTGTTTATTAATCTGCTGACAAAATAAAAACTAACCTTACTTTTATGAAAAGAAAGTGACGTTAGGAGGACATAACCTCAGAGTAGTCTGAGGACATAACTGTCTGCATTAATGTTCTGCGCATGCGCGTACATTAAATATTGTACGAGAAATTGAAACGTGTAATACAGATGATTATTGTCACTAATTTATGTAAATGAAAGTATAAAATTTAGTAGGTACTCAATTTAGTGTAGTGTCATACGACCCTTAGATGTTAAGTTAAATGTCAAATTAGAGACTGGAGATTTGCGTGTGAAAACTGAAAACAATAGCTTTGTTCGTAAACCTACATAACGTGTAGTGTAGTGTAGTGTAGTGGAATTCAGTGTTACACTAAAATAATAATTGTGCACCACTTTTAGAGAAAACATTTGGCTGTTCGTTAATTCAATTTGGGTAAACTTAAACTGGCATAATCTAATTGTAAATCATGGAGAAAATATTTGTGATGAGTGAATTATTTAGTGACTGGAAGCGAATCGGAATTAGATGCTGAAGATTACCTTCGTAAAAAAAGAAAAATTCATGTTTTATTGGAGACCTGTTTCCAAAAAAATAAAAGAAAGTGCATTACAAATTTTATAGAACTTGTTCGAAACTGTGAGGAAGGCAAATTTATCAGCCATTTCAGAGTAAAATCAAATATTGCCAAATTTTTAATGATCTATCTAAAATATCTACCAAGATGTGACATTTGTGATAAAAGTTTCATTTTCGCGCCACAAATATACTACACTACACTTTTACACCACCTTGTTAGCCAGTGTAGTAGTGTCTGCACTATTACACTACACTGGACTTTTCGAACACCTGGATTATACCTGCACTTGGCTACACTGCAATAAACGAACAACGTATTACTACACTAGTGCAGCAGTGGAAGGTTTACGAACAAAGCTAATAATGGTAAGTGCAGATCACAGTATACTATTGATTAGTATACTGTGGTGCAGATACAATTAAAGATAAATTACCAAATAAAATAACTTATTTATGATGTAAGATTTTGAAAGAAAGAAGAGACCAGTTACTCCAGTTAGTTCTGAAAACAGTGAAGGTGAAGACGAAAAAGAAGACTCGAAAAGGAAAAAGAAATAGAAAACAAAAATTTTCTGATGATTGGTTGCAATTACCGGAATTCAGGGCTTGGCTAGAAAAAATTGCCAGTGATCAATATATGTGTAAATGTAAAGCATGTAATTCTAAAATTGTATGTGGAAAATCAGAATTGTTAAAACACAGTAGAGGAAAAAACACATGGAGAAGGCGACTTCTATTCAGTCAAATGCATCATTAACTAGTTATTTTATTAAAAAGCAAAATGAAAATGAAGCTAAAAAAGTACAAAATTTTGAAGTTAGGCTTAGTACATTTTTTGCAGAACATAATGTAGCTTTACAAGTTGTCGAGCATTTGGTTCCACTTCTTAAAGAAACAGTACCAGATTCAAAAATTGTACAACAAGCAGCGCTTGGTCGTAAGAAGTGTACAGGTGTTATCAAAAATGTAATTGCTGTTGCAATACGAAATGATCTCATTAATGTTTTGAAAACTACAGATTTTTCTGTTATGGTAGATGAAAGTACTGACATTGGGTTGCAAAAAACAGTGTGCCTTTTAACTAGATATGTCTATCCATCAAATGGGCTTGTAAAAACAGAGTTATTGGACTTAATAAAATTAGATGCTAAAGACTACAGCTGAAAATTTATACATGCACTTCAGATAAGTATTAACTGAAGCAGAATTCCTTTGAAAAATATAATCGGACTAGCTAGTGATGGTGCGAGTGTAATGCTAGGTGCTAACAATTCCTTTGCTTCAAGATTGATTTCTGAAGTTCCAAACATTACAGTAATACGATGTATTTGTCATACATCTGCTATTATTGCTAATAAAGCTTGTGTTAATTTACCTAGATCACCGGAGGAGTTATTACGTCAAATATCAACATATTTATCTAATAGTTCTAAGAGATGTGCCCAGTTAAAAGAAATACAAGAATATTTTAATAAAGAAAAGAAGAAAATTCTGAAAGTTGCTTCAACTAGATGGCTATCACTCCATCAATGTATTAATCGTATATTAGAAAATTGGGACGTATTAATTAGCTTTTTTGAAATCTGCAGAATTGATCTTATTGGATTTAGAAAATGTGTGAAATAAGGCCTATTTGCTATTTTTAAAATATGTATTGAATTACTTCAACACTTTAAATGCACTGTTCCAGTCCAAAAAGCCTCTAGTTGTTGAATTGTATAACGCTTCAAAAAATTATTTCTTACATTGGGACAGAATTTTTTAAAACTTGAAAAACTGCATCCCAACGTTAATGTTAATGATCCAAGTAATTTATATGGTTTAGATTAGTGTTCTGTGGTTTTCATTTGATGTTTTTTCACAATAAGTTAAAACTGAAAATATAGTTTTAGGTATTAACAATAAAATATCTGTATAATTATGATGTACCTGAAGTTCCGAACGTTCGTTTGAACGAAAATGAAAACCCGTAATATCACGTTTAATCGTACTTAAAATGATTTTACCAACTAAATTCTGACTTCTGTAAACGAAAACAATGCTTCCCCGTCATCGGAAGCCACCCCCCATATTATCCACCCTTAAAACTTAGGTACATGTATTTTAGAAAATTAGCTCCGTACCACCCTATATTTGACATAGGTTGTTAAGATTACTTTTATACTGATTTCTAAGAAACATTCGGAACTTTTGTCACTATCGGAAGACACCCTGTCAACAACCCTTAAAATTGTCATTACTTATATCTCCAATCAAGCTTAAAAAGCCACGTTAAATTTGATTTAAAAAGTTTACGTTTCATTTATATTCATTTACAAAACCTATTGCCGCACTTTGTTGCCACCGGAAACTACCCTATCCCTATGAACTACCCTTGGAAAGGTCAAGTACTCTATTCCAAATATCAAGCCTGCTATCACACATTAAATCTGTCTTGAAATTTTACGATAACATCTATATTGATTTATAAATACTATTATTGCCCTTCGTTGCCATCAGAACCCACACCTTCAACTACCCTTAAACAGGTAATATCTTATATCCCCTGTATAAGGCTGAAAGCCATAATAAATTTCAAGTAAATTGATAAAATTATATTTGAGGGGCCTGGAAGTAAAACAGTTCAAGTGCACTTTTTCTAAAAAATTAACTAAGTGCAGTATGCTACTCCTAAAAGGTATCTCTACTTGGAGGTAAATAGATTCAAGTGAATTACGCGACCCCTGGCGCCATCTTCCATGATCTTGAGTTTCGTCTGTGGTAAAACGGTTCAAGTGGACAGTTTCTGTTTTCAGATTTGAAGTTATTACTTGGTGTGAGTTGCGGTGGTGTCCTGTTACCACCCACCCAGACTACCACTACTCGACAATGACTTTGACAAAATCCTTTCCTGGCCCCAGACAATTGCCATCGGGGACTTCAACGCGAAGTCCCCCATATGGCACAGCGGGACGACGACCACAAGAGGTCGCGTCCTGCTGAATTACCAAGACAGACACGACGACTTGACTATACTCGGACCGACAGAACCGACACATTACGGACCCGTAGGACGCCCCGACGTTATCGACATTGCCCTCTTAAAATCTATACCGTTAAATGCCCAAATATCCACCCAATACGAAGGGTCTTCCGCCCACAATCCAATATTTCTGGATCTGGGGCGAAGACAGAGATATGAAGGCACCTTCACGAGGAGGTTCACTGACTGGGAGCGTTTCCGAACAGTAATGCAAGGAAACATGGCGCTCCCAGTCATCGAAACCACCCATGATCTGGAGGCGGCAATCCTCTCCCTTGAGACTGACATTAAAAACGCCCTGACTCAGACTACGACGGAGACTATTGTCCCCCGACTGACAAACCCCCGGGGCACCCTCCCCGATGACATAAAAAACTTAATACGTGACAGACGACGTGCGAAACGGCTTGCCACCC